GATGTCACTGGGGAGAGGGGGAACCCTCCCTCTCCTTGCTTGTGGCTCTGTTTCCAATCTTTCTACATCATTGTGCACATAGAAAATGAAAACTATTTGCAAGTCTGTTGGGCTTGCGGCTCTCAGCTAGTCTACACTGAAGGCACCAAAGTCTAAGGCCTCCTGTCACCACTTCTGGGCCTTTGGGAGATGCACTTTGAGAAGCCCACTCCTATTACAGAGAAAGCGGCAAATCCTAAGCCCTCTCCCTCGAGCCTACTCCCCTCACTCCAAAGAATTCTAATCTTTTCCCCAAAAATTCATCCGATTCTTCACCGCCTTGGGGAGGGGAGCTATGGTCATGGTGGCAAAATGGTTCTGCCACTTGGTAAGACAACTATGGCAGCCTGGTGGAGGGCTGCCCGGTGTCTTGAGAGCATGGTGGGGTGGTGATGGTGCTTAGTGCTACCGTTCTTATCACTGAGGTTTTAGAGGCAACAGGAACATTTCTTCAAACATGACAAGCCAAACGACTCTCAGGAAAGTGTATGTCTATGTTTGTGTGGATTTCTGGGAAAAAAAACTGAAGCTACATCTACTCCTTATTTATTGACTATCTCATTGCCTAACATTTCGCAATTATGGCAATAATGAAAAAAATCAACTATCCAATTATTTTATGCATGAACCTGGGTCTTCTCTATGCATGCTGTTCAGGGCTTGCCAGGTCACCCAGGGCTGTCAGCCTGGCAGCTGAAGCAGTAGCTCAACAGAAGCCTTTTGGTTGGTCCACTTCCTGCCTCTGGAGTCACCACTGCAACTGTTCCTGGGAAAGATGAGACTGGACACTGGGCAGGTTTGCATGGCGGCCTTCCAGGAAGGCCCCTGAGTAGCCTGGGGCACCGAGGAGGAAGGGAGGTGTCAGTCTGCCTCTGCTGCTCTCGCTCTATGCCAGTGCCCAGAAGAGACAAAGCACTGTAGCAGGAAGGGACTAGGGGGTAATTTGGTGATGTAGGAGAGCCAGGTGCCCCCTCCTCTGTGCCTCAGGTTGCTGAGCTTCCCTTTCCAGCAATTGTTCTAAGCAGCTCAGGACTAGCAGAACATTGGTCACTA